TCAATACACTGTTCACATAGGTGTATATATTAAACTTTTTTTTGTAGGGATGGGAGTCTTGTTATGTTGTACAGGCTGGTCTCAAACTCCAGGCCTCAAGTACTTCCCCTTCCTCGGTCTCCCAAAGTGCTGGGATTACAGGCATGAGCCACTGCACCTGACCTACATACGTATTTTTAAATGATCCTTAATTCAATGGCCAGCAGGGCCTCATGCACACAGGTCTGTTCTTGTTTTGCTCAGTAACGTATGCTCACATTTAAAATGGTGCCTTATTAGCTGCTGAAGAAATATTTGATGAATATATGTTCTTCTCTTTTTTTATTTGAACTTTCAACCACCAATTCACAAATATCCAACACCGAGTTACAGCATTGGCTCCTTATAAAGTATCTGCATTTTTAAGCACCCAATACTAATTGTCTTGATGTGGCAATTACTAATTAAATGTGGCAAATGCATTTTATTATTCTTTGTCTCATTTTTCAAAGGCTGTGGTCAATGCTACCTTACTGATTTTCTAAATGAAAAGATTTTACTTCATATACCAGTCTACTGCCAAATTATGGTGCCCCCCACTCTACATGATATCTTATTTTCCTTATTCCTAATGATACAGATTTTATTTACCTCTGGAAAACCCATAAGCAGGACTATTTTAACCTTTTGATTCACTAACTTAGATTAGAACCATTTTCCCAAATAATTCTGAATGCTGCTAGCAAAATTATTTTCCTGTTATTGTTTTGACCCATTCTTTGGTCTCTAAAGGCTTTTAATTCATCCAACTAACTAAATTGAGAAGTAGTAGTGAGTAAGCATGCAGACTTGGAATCAAATTTCTTTGGCACAAATCATAGCTTACTAGGTGAGTTATCTTAAGTTCTTTCACTTATGGTTGTTAAATTTTTCTTTATGTACCACTGAGATGATCAGAGTGCCTTTCTCATGAAGTTGTTCTGAAAATTTGTATGATAACACAGTGCAGGGTACAAGGTAATTGCTTGATAAATGGCATATTTTTCCATTTTGATTAGTAAGAGCCTGACTTGATCTAAATGCTCCCAAAGACTACAGTCCTATCCCTGAACCGTACTGTACTGTATATCACCACCACTAGATCCCCCTAATATTATCTAGGTCTATGTTAATTGGCCTGCCACTGGATGCACCTTAGACAAAAGGCTGTGGTCCATGTATCTACTAGGTTTTGCCTGGTGCTGACAGATGGACCTTCTTGATGCTGATATCCCACCACCTGACTCTTCTCCTATTGCTTGTTTCAGGAACATCCTGAAATTGCCTGTTGTACCTTAGCCTTGTTTATAGGTCCTCTTAACTTCCCACTGTGTAATGAGACCCAATAAGCACCAGTTATTCAACTAAATAGTGATCTTTATTCTAAAGATATACTTATCTTCTTTGCGTTATTCAAATATTAATGAACACTTAACCTATTTTATTTAATGCTGCCTTTTATATTATAGATATACTTTTGGTTGACCTTCATCATTTCTAAATTGAAGGAATATGCCACAGGTATTGGCCAGGTATAAGGTCCTATGTTAGGTACTGTGGAGTATCGCATTACGTTAAACAGCTATCGTTCCAGAGGGCTTATATACAAATTGTACAGCACTTATATGCTCATAGATGCTTTTGATCATTATAAATATTATATTTACTTCGTTTCTTTTTCTCACTGATGTAGACAAACTATGTGCATCAAACATTTCAATCGCGCATCATCAATTAACATATTAATTAGTGTATGAACACAAACATACATGGCACAGGAATAATAAAGGCAACTTTTTGCTTAAAGCATGGTAATAAGAAATTTCAGCAGTTGGTCTTTTTAACTTTACTATATGAGTAAAACTGCCAACACAAGCAATATATTTATCAGAGTATACATCATGTGATAAAAAGGCACAAAAGAAAGCCAGGGATTTGATACTTTCAAGGGGTGCATCGATTGCCTCCAGTGCACATGTTTTGAACTCTCTCAGTGTGTTTATGGAATGGCCTACTGAAGCAAGCACTGAGAGCCAGACTCAACTGAAATCCAGCCAAGTCAGCAATTTGACAGAAACTAGGGCGACAACTACAGAAATTATAAAAAGCTCTCTCAGAAGTTCATTTCTGTTGTCTCCCAGAATCAGAATAAGAATGGAAAGCAAAAGTACTTTCTCTGCTTTAAAGAAATCTGAGGAGGAATGCTGCAAGTTATTTCTTTTGGTGGTAAGCCTCCCTAAAAATCATCTGCTGAAGTTTTATTAGTGATTTTAGCTCATATGTCAGATAATATATTTTTCTTCACAGCCCATGTTATATTAAAGTTCCAGTCTTTGAAGGGCTCACCTGAGTCCAGATGCTTAGAGAAGTCCTATATTATGATTTCACAAAATATAACTTTAAAGCCATGGAAGAGAATTCACATTTTTTAAATACTTGGCTTTTAAAGTACACTTGTGGTTATATAACATGGAGTAGAATGTTTCAAATAGTAAATTTATGGAAGAATCTGAAAAAGTTGCACAAATAATGTGCATGTTCACGTATGTTCACTTAAAAGGAAAGTGGTGCTGCGGGTTCTGAGAAGTAACAAAAAGGGCTCTGTCTGTACATGGCCAGTAAAGAATTTTTGAGGTGACTGTAAAACACATGAATTTGTAAAGAAATACACTGTTTTGCTTTATCCTAATGGGTACATTTGGTAAGTGTTAGCAGATATACAGTCCAATCTTGGCTTTTCAGAAGAAAATGCCCTTACCCATACCTTTGCCTTTGATATTTAAAACTCTCAGTATTAAACGAAATCAAAAGAAGATTGCAGAAAACTAAGGCAAAGTTTTGCTTATAAATCATATCTTCATGTAATTGGTTTAGCAATACAATCTTCCAGAATATTGAGAGACTAGAAATACGGATTTATAATATTTTATAACAAGAAAAGTCTACACATGAGAAATAAGTTTAGTTCCTCTCACTAAACACAGTTTTAGACATTCTAAATCATGCTTTGCCATCTTTGTCCTAATGCCTAGAAAATGCTGAGTTTGAAAGAATCAAAACCATATAGTGCTCACGTTTGCTATTTTACTCATCCAGTAGTTTTTCATTTAAATTTCTCGGCCTTCACTATTTTTTTGAAATTCGACAGGTAAAACTACAGTGCTGGGAGATGCAGACAGAAAATTAATGAAAAAGTACTCTCCTTGTGAACTACTTCATTTCTAAATGATCTAAAAATTCCTTGTCCTCCAGAGTATCAGAAGCTGAGTAGAGTCTTAAAGGTATCAGTAGGCTTTCAAATGAAAATTCATATATAGGGATATACATATCTATTTGCTACACAAATATTATTTGATGATTACATTTGTTTTGATTTTTTTACATCTGTAGTTTTAGAAGATACTAATATCTTGGCTTTGAGGAATATAAACAAATAAAAACTAAGGGGCCTCAGTGTCCTCAGAATTTCTAGGACTACTGTTAAGGGAAAGAGAACGTCAGAATTCAAAATAGGGTTCTTTAACACACAATTGTTTAGGTTAAAACTTTACCTAATAACTTTACTTCTACTCACTTTGTAATTTTACTGTTTATATAATACTGGGCATATATCATATGAATATAAAATGTTTGATCAATGTCCACAGAACAAGTTTAAAGAAGAGATCATCAAGCCCTACTGAAAGTCACATTAAATGCTATATCCATCCTTATGAGGACAGAAATAAAGCATCCTACTTATTGGTAATGTTAGAAAGTTATTTCTATCTGGATAAATCAAGATTTATATGTCTCAAGTGTGTGTTAGATGTGAAATAAGAGAGATTGTGGTGAAGGAAAGTTCCTGAGTAATATCCTGGAATAAGTCCACACAACTTTATTGCTCATATTTTTGCCTTTACAGGCATAATTGCAGCTGAACAGTCATAAGGAACTGTGTGGTGGTTTATCTTCTCCAACGGCATTACTCACCTTCAGGTCCCGATGGACCACGCCCATCTGATGGCAGTGTAGCACAGCCTCCAGGATCTGCTGAATGCAATGACTGCATGCAAACACCAGGGGGCGTGTGTTAGTTCCAAGCTTACACTCACTGTCTGTATACCCTCAGAGAGACTGGGTTAAAGTGCAGAGCTAGCAGACAACTGGGGTTGTATTGTACCACCTTCAGTCACGTAAACATATTGCTCAAGTAGAGTGACTACTACCTCAGAACAATCAGATCTTGCCAGATGTGAGCCAGAATGTGGATCCATTTGTTCTAGAAAAATCCATTTTGAAAATATTTCATGTCATTCAGGAGCTCATTTCCTGGTTACAAATTCTTCCAGGAAATAAACTGGAACACAAAAATAATGTGTATAGCTGTTGTGTTCTGCCTCCACCCCATCACATAAACTGTTTCTCTTTTCTCTCCCATTTTTCCAGTACTGTTTTAAAAGCTGTCACATTAACATCCACAGTACCATTAAGGTTAAATTAAGATACCTAATGAATTTTTGATAAATCATTAACTTCTGGTGCTTTAATTTAGCTGGCAATTATTATCTCTTGCCTAAGGGTTCATCAGACTCAAATGGAGCAATGCGTAACCAGTTGTTCTGCTACAGCAACCCATGATCTCAGAACAGAAGTGGTGTTTAAATCTACAGGCGGACATACATCACAGGCCAAGTTTATCTCCAGGCAAATGCTGGGCAATTCAAGAAAGCCTGCCCCCAAACCCCTTTTGGTAGTTTACTTGCTTGGAAGCGTAACAGGTTGTATTCTTTAGTACTTTTCCCTTTTTGCTATGATGTATATTTAGCCTGTAGATGAGCAAACTGGAAGAGGCATCATGCATTATCATTTCATCATTTACTCATTTTAGAATAAAGTTGGGAAAGGCAAGGGAACCATTTTAAATACCCACCCTCTGCCCTTTCCCCAGAAAAAAAAAATAAAACTGCTTTGATTCAGATTTATTGACTCCATATACTGACCTTCAGGTCCCTGTGAACTATGCCATTTAGGTGACAATGATTTACACTTTCTAGAATCTGCTGTATACAATGACTGCAAAGATACAAGGGCAGAATGGAAGGGAGAACATTTTAAAGGCACATAATCACATTGAATATGAAATAAAATGAAAGTTCCAACGAAACAAACAAACAAAAATTATATTTCTTCATATTTTTTTTAGCTTTACATGGGAATCGAATAATGCTGAATAAAGCTAATTTTGGTTCTAACAAAAATGACAACCAACAGTGAATTTGTGACATGTTCAGACAAAACAATTTGAGCTGTGTTGTTTTCTTTGTAAGTACACAAATTAAGTTATATGTATAAGAAGGTAAAATTTCCATACTCAGAAAGAAAAGTTTATAAAAAAGTCCCATAATGTTCTGGGAAAATTCTTCAGAGATATACAATTTCCAGTTATTTCTTATACACATCTAAACTGTTTAAAATCTGAGGTCACAATTAAACAGGCGTTGAAACAAGAGGGTAAACACAGATGAAGTGGTAGGTGAAACAAGGGTAAAAAAAAAAATGGAGGGACACATTTACCATTTCGCCTTAGAAGCGTTGCTTTTTGTAAAGTATATAACAGGAAAATGAATGCGAGTCTCCAACAATAAAGGGAGAATTTAAAGTAAACCCATAAATAAAATAAACCCCTTTTTATTATAAGTTTACTTTGGGGAAGAGCTAGGGAGCTTTCAAAGAATAAATAAATACAAATTTAAAATACCCTGGAGTGCTGGTAATTGTTTACACTTTTTCATATACTTCAGTGTATGAAAACACTTCTTACATTTCAGTGAAGAAAAACTTTTTTTTTTTTGCTTAGTACTATATCAAAATGCCTATTTTATGGTATTCTTATTAAAGGTTCAATGATGTCAAACGGACAGCTAATTAGAGAGGAGAAATCCTTGTTTGGCACCTATAAGGCCCCATGAGCTGTCATCTGACATATAATAACGTAGAACATATCACACTGATGAATTCTGTATAAGTTCACTGTACAATTCAAATGCAAGTATGATGTCCTGAACTACATTTATTCATTGAAAGATGAAGCAATTTAGTAAGAACATTTTCAACCATTTAATATATAAAATAATATTATTCTAAAGAAAAAATTTGAATTCAAAAACAATCACCATCTGATTTATTACAATGTAAATATTTTAAAAATGGATTATGATAATGATTTTTCTAGCTGACTTATTAACAATACTACTAAAAGGGTCTCATATTCATTGCTGTTGACTACATTGCTTATTTGAGTATTGGCCATTATTTTTAAACCATAGGAATCTTTTTTCTTTTACAATAATATTCATTTTCCACTACTCTTTAGGAATATTTCTCTTATGGTTCTCAAACAACAATAATAAATTATTAAATATTGGGAATAACAGAAGATAAAGAAGTAAACAATAATACATATTTAATGAACTTCACTATTTTTTACTAGTGAGAATGGATTCAATTCTTAAGTTCTTGAGAACTAGTAAAAAAAGTTTTACAATTTTTTTGACAAATCAAATAGCCTCTTTTGAGACAGGGTCTCACTCTGTGGCCCAGGCTGGGGTGCAATGGCATGATCTCTGCAGCCTCCACTCCCAGGTTGAAGTGATTCTCCAGCCTCAGCTTCCCAAGGTTCTGAGATTAGAGGAGTGGGTTACCACATCTGGTGGAGAAATAGCCTCTTTATGCTTTTAGTTAAAAGGGAATGTTTCTTCTCTAATTTCGTCTGAGACCTATCCTAAAAAATATGTTAGGGCTCTTTAGCACTAAAAATGTTCTCTATTTTAATTTCATCCTGCATTTTTCAAACCAAGTAACAGCCTGCTTAACATAACTTCAAAAGACAAAATAAATGAATACCCTAGTTTAGTACCTTGATTAAAAATATTACTGTTTCTTGGTGAATAGCCAAATAGCTAATTCCAAAGCTTCCCTGAGGCCCCTTTCAGGACCCTAATGTGAGGATTTGGGGTAAACTGAGCAAGTGATGATTCACTCATCATAGTATAAATCACATATACTTTCTACTTGACTTTGGCCATAAAAATTCCATTAAACAATTAGAGTGTAGTCATGTACAGATAGATTCACAAAATGGCATAAACAGTGCATTAAACCAAGAAGAAAAATTAGAAACTTAGAATTGTGCCTCTGAGTGCAAGGAGGGGCTGAGAACCTCAATATCAGCTGGACATCTGTTGAGGATCAGTCTACAATGGGATTAGCAAGCCTTGGGAATCTCTGATGACGTTGGGGAGTGGGGGCAGAGTCAATAACTGAATTTTCCTAACATCTCATTTACATGCTAATAATGAGCCAATCACTCTTGATCAGATTTTTAAAAATAAATGACAGTTACAGAATATATGTAAGTACACAGGAAAATTAACACCATGCAGTCTAAGTAATAGCTAAGCAAGTGGTTAATGTCACTCCACTCCAAAAACATTGCCTTGGGTAGCCTAGGAAGTTTCAAATTAGACAAAAATCGTAGCCAACTTTTTAACTTTTGTAAAGATTGTGTCAATGAAAAAGATGAAAAAATTACTCTTGAACTCTCTTAAATATCTGAATAAATATTTTTCACTCAGAGGTCTAAGGGTTTTAATAAAATTACCAGAGTTAACTAGCTAATAATGGTTCCTTAAAGAGACCACTGAGACTTTTTTCAGTCTGTTTCTGTCTTCTGACTAGATATTCATTATTCAGTGGAACTTTCTGTGATGATAAAAATGTTCTATATCTGGTCTGGCCAATTGGTAGCTAATAGACACTTGTGGGTACTAAGCAGTTGGTTACACCAATCACATGGTTAGATCAACTGAGAAATAAATTTTTAACTTCATTTAATCTTAATTAATTGAAATTGCAATAGCCACATGTGACTACTGGCTACCACTGGGCAACCTATAATCTACCTAGGGATTAAAGGATTTCAATCGTTTATCTCTGATCTTTACTAAAAATATATTGCTTTAGCAGAAGTCATTCCAATTAGGTGGGGTATTTTGGTTTGTTTTTTCTTCTTGTTTTTAATAATATGTGATCTAACTGCAGATGCTAGATAAAAATATAGACCAGATTCATATAGGTTTTCTTCCCTAAAAATCATCCAGGAGACCCTTAAAACATTTTTGTACAAACATGCATTTGTAAAGAAATATGCTGGAAAAATATTATTTGAATGTTGATTCTTGTATCTTGCCCAGGGCAAGTCACTTACCTGGCATCAGCTTCACTGTAGTATTCCCTTGCCACTATGTCTTCAAAGAGTTCACCTCCAGTAACTCTGGGGAGATAGAAAAGATAATCACATTTAAAAAGAAGAAAAAAATAAGCATCAATAGATTTGCCAATGTGTTCATATAGATTTTTTTCTTAGATTATTTAAAAAATTATCAAAACATTTTAAAACATGAGACATTGTTTATAAGTCAAATCTGTATTACATTAAACATTTAAATCTTTTCTATTTGTCTATTATTAGACATAAGGTCAATTTTCTGTATGCCATAAATATATTCAGCAATATCTTTTACAGAAAATGTTTTTTTTTTTCAATTCTTCAAATGTTAATTAGTATCTGACAAAATTTTGGCAGAGTTTAGAAACATTTTCTGAACAAAAAAAGACTATACACATCACGGCCATGAGTATGAGTTTGCAGGCTGCATCTTTCTGTGTAACCTTTTGCTATTTTTGCGTGTGTGCATCTTTAAACATACTGTTTTTTCCCCTTGAAAACACACACATAAAAATGCATACTTTTCCCACAAAAGTGGGATCACATACTATATGTAAATAACTAAGCTAATGGTATTTTTCATTTTACATTAAATTATGGCACCATGTTATATCAGAAGCATTTTCTCCTAGTTTAATGTAATATGGCAATGAACAGATATATGCGTGTGTGTACATATAGGCGTGCACACAGTATGTGCATATTAGAGGGTATTTCTAAAGAGAAATTCTTATGAGTAAAATTACTGGGTAAAAGATTACCCACATTTAAAGTTTGGTCAAGCAGACAAGGCAGGTCATCCAAAATGGTTGCACCCCCAATATTGTGAAGGTGCCCATAGACCCAAATTATGACAATAATAGTTACTATTAATAAATAAAAACACCATTCTAATTGTGGAAAATTCATGTTAATTCAAATTTCTTGGTTACTAGTGAGGTAGACCATTTTCTCATTTATCAACCATTTCTTCCTCTGCTATGATCTGGCTTGATTTTAAAAGGACATTTTATCCTTGGGGTTCAACCTTATAAGAACTAAGATTTGCTGAGTTCTTACAATAAACCACACAGTGTACTAAGAATTATATTAACTCATAAATCCCCACAATTGCCCTGTGAGCAATTGCCCTCTCAGTTTATTGATGAGAAAATGAAGGCCCAGAGAATTTAAGTAACTTTCCCAATATCACACAGCCTTTAGTGGCACAGGCAGGCCATCCACTCCACAGCTCATGCTGTCAACCACTCCATAGTGCAGACTTTCCAATAATGACATTGCCAGTCTTTCTAGTTTAGAAGCCATGAGTCATTTGGAAAAGCATCAAGTAGAGGTATAGAGCTTCATGTATAAACACTATAGAGTGAGATAAAAGGATGCTAAATTAGTTTTTCTTTTTGTTCACTTGTTTGCTCTTTTGCTTTATTAACTTTGGACATCATCAAAGATCGTATGTTTTAGAGAGAGCCAGTTAGTATTCTATTCCTTATTCTCCTTTCCAAAGGAAAAAATGGGATACTAAAAATTGTAAATATGTCTGAACAGTTATGCAACTTCTGCCCCTCTTAATTGCATTCAGGATATTTCAAAGTACTTTAATGTGAATCATTATTTCCAATTCCATTATTTTTACATATAAAATGTTTACCTAAAATTATCATACAAAGCTTGATATAGGTATGTTCTGAAAATCATGGTTACACGTACATAATTCCATTTAGTAATATGATTATTTTTCCAATTAGAATCTATAATGCAATCACACAATGTGCCTTACATAAATTACAATGAAAATTAATTAGACGTAAACACTTTCAACAAATCTTTATCTATATGGTGATGATAACAATTTTGTGAGATTTCTTTCTTTGAATATGACTAATGTATTATAGATATATACTCATATTTATCCTTGCTTTTGACCATAAGTACCTAGAAAACCTGCATGTACTACAGACAATTTTGGATTATTAAAATGTTTAATAAACATTGATTAAAATCAAATGACATTAACAAACTTGCTGCTATTTATAGGCTCCTTAAACATGTTATTTGCCGTATGAGAAATACCAGATCTTGGATCACTGGGCTCTTGACTTCCTGATCTTTGTTATGTTAGCATCTAAGCTAGCATTAATATGTATTTGCTTAATTATTGACTCTTGAAGTAATGATTAAATAAATTAACCCAGTTAGAAAATCATGCTATCCATTTCATTTACTGTAAGTCTGGACTTTATATGAGCTTAAAAAAAATCATGCACATATTCAAGTTTAGCTATCCATGGCAATAGGTTTTACTTTCTAAGGGGTTCGTATTTAAAGGAGAATACTGAAAAGTCAGGAAGAGCAGCATTCTGGTAGTTTTCAATGAATTATAGTAGCTTTAAACAAATTTGAGGGATGTAGAATTTTATGCTGAGTTTTGGATTATATAGTTAAGTGTGTCTGACAACATTCTCTCTCCTCTTCTAGCATTAATTCTTCCCATTATTTAAAAACATCTTTACACAAATGAAATCATTTTATCATTTCTTCTATATGTATGTATGATAAATGTCTGAAAAGAAAAAAATTGTAATTATAATAAAATTCAATGTCGCGAAGAGAAGCTACTGAATTTTCTAACTTTAACATATTTCTATACTCACATTATTGTTTAACAGAACACAAAATTAAGCTATAGTTATTACATATTTTTGAAACTTTTAGTGTGCCATGTGAAATTTCATATAATGTACAAATTAAATCAGTCTCATGAATAAACTGTTAGAATAATTAACTAATTAGAGATTTTGTGAATAAATTGATGTCAGAGTTCTTCTATGATATGAAACATATCAATTATAAATCTGGAGCATTAATTATCATTTATGAATCTCAAGAACATTAGGAAAAAGAAAAGATAACTCTAGAACATGAAAAGATGAGACTACATATCAGAAAGGTTTGTGTTGTTGTTGTTGTTATTTATAGTGATGCTGATTCACACTGTTACCCTGTATAATGAATTGTTCTTTTGTTTCTAGTGTATAATTTGTAACTTACATCAGAAACATTCCAAAGTATTTTCATCAACAATATAACATTTATAAAATTTCATCAGTAATATATCTTTGTCCATGAGGCTGAGCAGCAAGTAGAGTCAGCTTTAAAAAATAAAATGGTGCCACATTAACCCAAGAAATAGCACTGACTTGGAGATTAAAAGCAGTGCTCAAGGTGGTGGGGGAAAGCCAGGAACCTCAGGCTGGAGCTGATGGAAAACAGGAACCAAGAGTGGCACCTAGCTAACGCACAAGGAGGAAGCAATCTTGCTAAGGTAGGACTGGGACTCCCTCCTGGAAAAGGAGTAATTTAACCTGGGAAATGAATTTAAAGCTGAAGAACAAACCTAGTGAGATGAGACGACTAGACCTGAAATCCAAGCCTCTGGGCAGAGGTAACAGAGGTTCATCAAGCAGTTAAACAAAGAATCACTACCATCAGATTTTTGTTTGTTTGTCAAAAAACATATCTGTGCTGCCTTGAATTTAAGCAATTTGTATGTCTTCATTTAGTGATGAAGGCAGAAGTTGTAATGCTGACAGATTCATCTGTGTCACCTGCATGGTCATCCAACATACTATCTTTCACTTGTTGAACAAACAATAACAATAACAACAAATATTCATTGGGTGCTTACTATGTGTGCAACTACCTGAATATTTGTGCCCCCTCCCCAATTAATCAGTTAAAATCCTAACTCCCAAAGTGCTGATATTAGGATGCCAGGCCTGTGGGAAGTAATTGGGTCATGAGGGTGGAGCCCTTATTTGGTGCCCTTATCAAAGTGACTCCAGAGAGCTCTCTCCTCTCTTTTCTCCATGTAGAGATACAAGGAAAAGTCAGTAGCTTGCAATCCAGGAAACAGCCCTCACCAGAACCAGACCATGCTGGCACGCTGATCTCAGACTTCCAGCCTTCAGGACTGTGAGAAATAAAGGTCTGTTTTTCAAGCCACTCAGGCTATGGTATTCTGTTAAGCAGCCCGAAAAGACTAAGAAAATGTGCCAAGACCAAGTGCTTGCTGTTCGAAGTGCTCTATAGGTTGTAACACAGCAACTCTATGAAGTAGATACTAGTGCTATTTCTGTTTTACAGACAAGGAAACCAAAGTAATGGAGATTAAGGACATTTCCCAAGAACACACACAAGAGAAAGGAAAAGAACTAGTTTTCTTTGTTGTGTATGCTTCCCTACTAGCTTGCCCTTTGGACACAATTTGGGAGCAGAGAAGGGTAAGACAAGGGGCTTGGAACAGCTCAAAGGATCATGCTAAAAGACTGGGAATAATACAGACATAAGGAATTCCTACTTATATGGCCTTTAAACATTGATTAAAGTCAGACAGTTTGACTACTGGTGAGGGTAGGAGAGTAGTCTCTGGTCAGTGTGAATCTGATGAAGGCTTATTAGTAGGAGTGTTACTGGCTGTCTCGGCTGGATAATTCTACATTATGAGTGTGCAGTTGTCCGTATATGGCAAGACTGTCAGCACCAGGTCCTGTTCTAGGTGTAGCAGCTCTACCTTGTCAATGTGCCAACCAGTGTGCCAACTCCATTCATTCCTTGTTACCCCAGGGGCTCCCTAAGAACCCCTGAAGAGAATCACAGGTCTAAATGAACAAAGTCAGTGGGGATACAATGAAAAATGTAGGTCTCCTTAGCACCATGTTCTAAGATATAAAGTAAATCAAGCCAGCCACTGGCGTAAGGGTCTGTCAGGCTGAGCACATGAATGATGATGGGGCATTGTGTCTTCAGCACCTTACACAGTGCTGGCACACAGAAAGAGCTTAATAAATGTTTTCTGAGGGGATAAATTATTACGTAAATAAATGAGCAAATGAAACTATAAGCATCCGTTCACGATTTTCTGGTTTGACCTGTATTTGAGCTAGTACCTGAGGGTAAAGAGGCCTAACCACCTTTTATATTATGTATCTACTCATCTCTAACTAACTCTTGCTGATTATATCTCCAAAACAGAACTTGAATCAAGA